ATTCTTCAAGAATCGATAGCCCTAGCCTCTTCCCTTTCTCCTTGTTCTTCGTTCTCACGGTCTCTCCCATTTCTCTTCTCTGACAGTTTCTATCGTGACTTTTCACATTTCTTTCTAACTTCCCAAATTCCCTCAACTTCTTATTTTATATTTTAATTCCAATAATAATAATAATAATAATAATAATAATAATATTAATAATATTATTTTATCAAAATAATAATATTAATAATAATAGTAATAATATTCCACCAATAATAATATTAATACTAATAATAATAATCATCATCATCATCATCATAATAATAATAATAATAATAATAATAATAATAATAATAATAATAATAATAATAATAATAATAATAATAATAATAATAATAATAATAATAATAATAATAATAATAATAATAATAATAATAATAATAATACTATGAACTATTATATTAGTATCTCAACACCACATCTCCATAAATAATTCTTATATATCAAGGATACTCACCAATCATATACAAACAAACCCCACCTAAGGGCACACCAACATAAAATAATTAAATTAACACCAAAATGACTAAATAAATAAAATGGATGTTACAGGAGACACCCAAAATATCTAGAAGCCGATGAGCCTCAGCCTCCGTCCTACATTCGAGCAGAGCATTTACATTAATATACCGGGTATCTGTCAGTCTGCGTCGCAAATATACTCCACGTCGGGGGACACACATTTCCGAGGAGGAAGACGACCGACGAAGTCCACCAGCCTTCGGAAGGCTAAGCTGTCCTCCTCGCCCAGCCGACCAGGCCTGAAGATGAAATTGTCTGTACCCGAGCGAAAATGCAGGTCCGCCCAGTCTAGGGGGAAGTTAGACGCATAGTTGTCCTGGTGACGCCCGTCCACGACTATAACTTCCTTCCGAAATATGGTCTCATACGCCTCGTCCGTGTCCGGCATGACCAAGAACCAGCAATCTTTAAATTCTCGAACATAATCGGTATACGGCCGAAAGAGCCTAGTCGCCTGCTTCAATGAAACCCAACTGTGTCGACCAACAACCGTCTGGCGTTGCAGGTGGATGACGCAGAAGAGTAGCGGGATGGAACCCCCGAGCTCCAGGTAGTTGCGGACGATCTCGAATGCTCGGATGAAAGCTAGGGAATTCAGATGAAGCTGGGACGGCGCCAACATTAGATGATCGAAAACACCTTGCTGGAAGTCGGTGAAGGGCATTTGCATTCCCACCTCCTTGAAGGTGAACTCGTACATAGGGAACCGACCACCATCATACTGCGAGCATATACGATCGGTCTCTCGAGGTCGGCATGCGCGGAACCGACGGGAGCTCCCGACCACCCTATCCTCTATCACCGCGAACGCATCAGAGTCGTCGAGGACGAACCTCGATATATAATTTAGGGGTTCCTCCCCGACCCATTCTTCTAAAGGTCTCTCCGGAGAATCCAGATCGACCTCGTCCTCACGACCCCCCTCGTCCGCGAATAAGTACCACTTCACCTCTTCCTTAGCATGACCAACCATTTTATACCTAAAAAGCATAGAAACTTGGTGAATTCGACAGCTAAATCAAATCCACCCTTCCACCGCAGTTCAAGTGAAAGGGCGTGGTCGCCTAACCGCTCACGAGGCGAGCTGGAGGCAACTTTATCCCCCGAGGAGAACCAGAGAGCACACTCTTTGTCCTCGACGCACACATCCACTTGTGCCCGGGGCATTCATCCCTTTGTCCTCGGGGCATTCAAAGTCCTTTTTCATCCTCCCCGGGACGCTCATCGCAAGGGTCGGGGACGGTCGTTCCTACCCTAATTTTGAAGGATCCTCCGGCGTATTCACCGAAAAAACCCGCGGTGCGCCCAACAACCCAAACGGAGCCGCTGGAAACACCGCCATAAACAGCAAAAACACAAAGAAGGGTGCAAAAACTTACTTGATATGGATGCAGAAATGTTGTTGTCGGGCAGAAGCGATCGAAGGTCTCGAACAGAAGTTTGTGGACGTTGAGCAACTACGAATATGCGAATGAGCAAAAAGACGAGTCAGGTCAATGTATATATACCCCTAGCACGGGAAATGAATCGTCGCCAGGTACTCAAGCACCTAGCCCGTAGCCGTCACAAGAAGACACGTGGCGATGCTCCATCTTCCCTGCGTCTCTTCAAATTCTTCCCTCAACCCCAACTGGCCGGCACGATTGCACCCTGCTCAATGAACCGAGGAGCCCGACGCCATTCTCGCATCCTGCCCGACAGATCGACGCACCCGACGCCACTCTCTACTCAAGTCATAGCTCACCCGACCGTGGCCAACGACTTGGGGGGCTCATGTTCTAGACTAGGCCAACATTCAACCCATTGCTCAGCAGGCCCAAAGCCCACTGGGGTTAGGCCCAATAGGACCACACTGACGGGCAGAAGATCCGTCGGACATCACCTTCCTCCCCGTCGGGCAAGGGGCAACACCTGTCGGGCAGGGCCCTTGCACCCGACTAGCCAGCCTCTTTCTTCCCCGTCGTCGATTAGGACCCTCGCATTCGACCAACCATCCTTTGTCCTCCCGGGGAGCTCCTCGGGCCTTCTCCCACGTTCTTCATGTGTCCATCACGCAGGGACACGTCATAAAGTAACTACCCACGTCTTGGAGATTCGGTCTTCCTCCTCCTGGGTAGTGCAGAACAGTTACCCTAAGGCGAAGACCACGTGCTGGTCTTCACGATGCCACGTTAGCCTTAGCAGTTACTATCATTGGGCCTAACAGCCCAGCCTAGTGCTAGGTAACCGTTGGCCCTGCGCTGGGGGCTCACTATAAATACCCTATTCACTAGAGGGTCAGGTAACTTAATTCTCTTACTCTCTCTTTGTACTTGCTTCCACTCTGCTCGTCACTTACTTTGACATCAGAGTGTATTTCAGGTACACCCCCTCCTCTTCCATACCATTGGTGAGCAACTAGCAGATCAACGATGCGTGGCAGATCATAAATCCCTTTTTGGTCAGGTACGATCACATTTCATAAATCGATAGTTCTATCTGATAAAAGAAATCGATTTATTCCACTCATTGTCGAGTCGTCACTCCGATATCAAGTGTACATGTTTCCTAATAGATGCGCATCAATAAGCTCCATGTTAATTACAAATTATGTAAATTCGTCTATCTCGATAGAATCTCAGACATTCATTAATCTTTTTCATCATGATTTAGCCACCAAACAATTGAAATCATCTCCTAAACGTCATTTTCCTTTTTCATTATTGTTCTTCAAAGTCAATAAATCCTCGTAAAGCTTTTCCTCTTCCCCCGATAAATTATACGGAGAATAGACGCTAATTACATATAAAAAAATAACACCTAATTTTTCAATACACAAACATAGATGAAACCTTCCTCCATAAACTTCATTAGCAAACCTCCTCACTTCTCTTGAAATAGTTTTATCAACCAATGAGAAGTTATATTGCCTTAAAGACATTCAATTTCACGGTCCAAAATACTAAGCATAAATAATAATAATTATACATCTCGAAAATTCTCAGAGCCGAGTTATGAGTCACTAGGCCCGAGAGGTAAAGGTCGGACGTGCCGGGTATTTAAGAATATTTAGCTGAGTTGCTACTTATGAAATAAATAAGAGTCTGAGCCTTAGAGATATCAGAGGTGTGTTCCTAGATGATGTGAACAAATCAGTATAGCGACTATAGAGTATACACCCTGAGTTTTCAATATGCCCGAGATGGATTACTCATAAAGGAAGCATTTCCCTCAAATTCTAAAAAGGGTAGCCAAAAGTCATTCATCGGTTATGAAGTTATGAATCGACCATTACAACATTCTTCCATAAAATTATGAAGCATTATGGTCTTCATCAATAATAGATGGTTGTAATTGTTATCCTATTGAATGGGTCTCTTGGGATGCAGGGGAGAGGAAAAATAACAATACAAATAAAGAAGTCTGGATGTAAGAAAAAGGGGACATATGTACGATAAATAACGTAATAAAGAGTAAACCTACGAAAAACCTTGAACCGCCAACAATGGCAATCAGAATCATATACCTATACAGACACTCCAACCACAATTTTACGACCTTCTTTGACTAGCATCAAGAAGGTCAATCAATTTTACACAAAAACAATAATCACTTTATTTTTTAATTAAAAAACTATATATTTTTTTGTCGAGTTGAGTGGTTGAAATTCACCATTTCAAAAGTTGAATAAATGAAACGCGACATATTCAAATTTATTTACTTACTTATAATATTCTTATACAGCTGTCAACTGAATTGATTTAATAGAATAAATTAAAATTATTTTTTTACTAATGTTTAGTTTTGTTTGGCATTCCTTACTAACTAGATTTAATACTACACATTTCTTAATCTAAAAATATATTCACTCAAAAAAATTTTTATAACAGTGGATAAACTTTTATTTCATTATTAAATGGATGGAGTAACTACAATTATAAATATGAAAAATATTTGTACTATGTCCACAATCCCAAATACATCTTTTTGGGCAAAAACATAACATTAAGTTAAATTTTTTTATTCCTTTTTTTCAATTGTGTTTGGTTGCTCAAATTATATTTATTTGTGTTTATGATAAGTCTGTTTCTACTATAATTAAGTAGTAGGACACTGTAATAAAAGAGGAGAAAAAACCGAAGGGTCGCGTACATAGTTACACTACACCCATTTCCCAAACGCACCTTTCAGTCTTGTAGTTTTAACTCTCACCAACTCTCTATTGAGAGAGCAGAGAATCAAAGAGATAAAACGGTACCGTACAAAACTCTCATCCATTTATTCCTTTCACCACCAAACCGTGACACACTCTTTCCCTTCTCACCTTCCACTCCTTTTTCATCTCTTCTCCATTACTGCAACACACCTGCAGCTGCACACACATTTAAATTCTGCAATTAAATTGAATCATTCATTCATATCATAACCTAGATTGAGAAACTCTAAGATTCTCAAATATGGATCTCACTAAAGTCACCCTTGAAATCTTCTCCAAACTTGAACACAAATGGCTTTCTCATTGTAAAGATACATCCACCAAAACCCGCATTCTCAGCATTGACGGCGGAGGAACCACCGCCATTGTAGCCGGCGCTGCATTAATCCACCTCGAAGATCAGATCCGTCTCCAGACATCTGATCTCCATGCTCAGATATCAGATTTCTTCGACATTGTTGCAGGTACCGGCATTGGCGCCATTCTTGCCGCAATGATAACCGCCGCCGATGCATTCGGTAGGCCTCTGTATACTGCAAGAGAAGCTGTAAGTATCATCACAGAGAGAAACTCGGAACTCTACAAACTCAAATCCGCCGGAATATTTCGCCGGCGGCAACGGAGATTTTCGTCGAAGAACATGGATAACGTGTTGAAGCAAGTGTTCTTTAGAAAAGAAGATGCACGGATGTTGACCTTGAAGGACACGTGTAAACCGTTGCTTATACCTTGCTTTGACCTCAAGAGTTCGGCTCCATTCGTCTTTTCACGAGCCGATGCTTCCGAATCTCCCAGCTTCAACTTCGAACTCTGGAAAGTATGCCGCGCCACATCAGCAACGCCGAGCCATTTCAAGCCGTTCAACTTCAATTCCGTCGATGAAAAAACTTCTTGCTCCGCCGTAGACGGCGGTTTGGTGATGAACAATCCTACGGCCGCGGCAGTCACGCATGTTCTCCATAATAAACGCGATTTTCCAAAGGTGAACGGCGTGGAGGATCTTTTGGTCCTTTCCTTGGGAAACGGATCGTCGAACTCGAAAACGTGTGAGAACCGCACGTGCTCAACGCCGTCGGTGGTTGACATTGTTCTGGACGGCGTTTCCGAGACTATTGACCAAATGCTTGGAAACGCTTTCTGTTGGAATCGTACGGATTACGTCAGAATTCAGGTATATAGGTTAATCGTTTTTACTTTTTTCTTCTACTGTATCTCTGATCTCTGCATTCAAGTCAGAATTCAGAAAATAGAAATTATGAATTGACGGCGTTTGTTTTGTTGCAGGCGTTTGGTTTGGGGAAAGATGGAGGGGCGGAAGAGGTGGTGCTGAAGGAAAGAGGATTGGAGTCGTTACCGTTTGGAGGGAAACGGTTACTGACGGAGACAAACGGAAATAGAATTGATAGCTTCGTGCAACGTCTTGTTGCTACTGGAAAACCGAGCCCACCTTTCAGTCCTTGCAAGGACTCGGCCGTCGCTACTCTTGCTAACGGCCGCTAGTTATTTTTTTTTGTCTCCTTGAATATCTTTATTTTAGGGTAATTTTTTTAACGCTGTATAACTGTAACCAATGTTTTTTTTTAAACTAGCAATGCAATGCCAGTTGTCAGAGTTAATAATTTTACTTGTTATATTTTTTATTGTTTTCTTTTATTTGATGCGTGTTTCATTTTTTTTATATCAAAACGTCTTTGCATTAAGAAAAAACAAATATCGTAATTTACAGGTGTTTAGACGAAATTTAAAATCCATAATTTTTTATATTTTATTTTTAATAAAAAATGCAAAATATTTTAAAAACACATTAATAAGGTTGTGACATTGATGAACAATCCTACAAAACTTAAATAAATTCAAATTTTAGATTCGTCCGCCCGAGCTTTTAATGTTTGATCATTCGTCGTCGCGTCTTTGGAGCTTTTTGCTTCAGGATAAGCTTTTTTCATATCGATTAACTGCCCATCTACCATTGCTTTGAAAATTTTTTTAAGTTTGGTGCGATGCATAACGCCTGAGCTTTGGCCCTTTCAAACGCTTCATCACCACCGGAAAGTAGTTTCACTTGGACATCTTGTAGAGATTTCTTTAAAGTTTCATTAAAAGCCCGAACTTGTTCTGTTTCTTGGGTCAAACCGGCGTTAGATGTTTTCAGCTCCAAGCCTTTGGACTTGACGACTTTCTTATGCTTGGTATCTCCGATAACTGAGATTCCCATGTCTCATTTTGCTTATTCATCTCTGATAGCTGCTTGTTCAACTCCTCCACTTTGTCGGTATGAACCTTTAAATAAGCCTTCAGGTGATTCACATCCTTGGAAACGTGAGCCTCGTTTTGCTCATGAGCATCACCCACTTCAAACAAACCTCGTGTCATCACTGCACATCTCATCAAGTAGGCCCCTAAATTCTGGGTCAATTGTTGAGCACCTGTAGACTTCACCTTTTCGACGTCCTCGGTTGAATTAAGATGATCATAGAGATATCTCAATCCATCAAAGCTATTGGACCTGAATTTAAACTCCGAAGAGGGTTTATATTGATGTCTGCTACCTGAGTCCTACATCAGGATGGTAATTTTCAGGTCGGCTTGACTAACGTCGTAACTCATCAGGGTCCTCATCTTCTTTAGAGAACTTGGCTCTGGGTCTGCAGGGAGAGGAGTTGAGATCGGATGAGGCTCTAACATGACTGGAATGGCTCTAACAACATCTAACTTTTTTCTTTTGAGGCTCCAGATCTGAATACCCGTGAGGTCCCTCTTAGAAGCAGATTGATCTCTACACCTCGCCCTAGCTTCAACCATTAACTTCTTTTGTTCGGAGAAATAAAAGGACCAGAATCATTGAACAGGATTATTGATAATATCATAATAGAACGATAAATAAATGTGCAAGCATTACCCAAAAAATTAAAAAAAAATTGTTCGGGGTCATTAACCATTCGTAAAAGATCTTTGACTTTCACTACCAGAAAAGCACCCAAAACGGCCAAAAACCGGAGTTCCAAGTCATTCAATTTATCATAGTCAAAATCAGAGATAGTTGACTATCTGACCAATAGATCAATAATTCCCATCTAACGCATACATAACATGGGGACATCTTTTCCTACGAAGAGGCTATAAAGTCGGATGATCATGTTCATACCTAAAAATTGGAATCCGGTTAGGAGCACTAAAATAAGCAAACTGGAGTCGACCTCGTTCATACAAGTCGGCGGCGACCTCGTTCGTGCAAGTCGGGTATGATGCCAATACCATCTAAAAAGTTGCAAGAGATAGTTACAAAAATTTACATGATGACATGAGAGTTATAATTATTGAGGGGAGAGACGTTACATGACAATTATGTACGAACGCTACTTAAAGAGGTATTTATGAGGGATACAAGAGGGTAATCATGAATGAAGGAGGACAAGGTCGAGCCATATAAATAGGAGATTACTTGGAGGGTGAAAGACATACAAAAATCAACAAAGAAAAATATAACATACACTTCAACCAGTCATTTTAGACTCTCTTTGACTAATAACAATGAAGTTAACCTTTTAGTGTTTTTTTAGCAAGAACATAAACATTTTCAATGGTGGCACCACTTCTTTTGGCGGCAATGCATTTTGTGTTTTTCTAAACATAAATAATAAACATTAATATTTAAATTAAGATACTTTTATAAACACTAACGATGACGACTGAGTTGGTCATACTGACCACCAGTTCCACACCTTATAGCTATCATAACTCATTGTTGATTCACCTTAAGTGTTTGAGGTCTTAAGAGCATCACTAGAATCCCTAAGAAGTTTTTGCATTTCTAAGAATTCTTTTGTATAAAGTGACATGTTGCTGTAACTTAGTTCGTGACTCATGCCAGAGTAGTTGGGATGTGTTGATGGGGTTATTAGTGTGCAACCTAAACTATTGAAGGGATACATTAGTATGAACGATTCATTAGAGAAAGGTTGAAATAGTTATGGTGGTGTTTGATAGCCATATGGTTGTTGTGATATTTTAGCATTTTGGCCATGGTAGGAGGAACACTTTGTGTTAGATGTTCCTTGGGTGTTTTTGCTATGGTAGGATGATATTTTAGGGGCATATGCATTTGGGTGTCTTGATAATAATCATCTTGTTGAGGATGGTATGGGGGACGCTCTTGATATTGTGGTTGAATGTCTAACATGTTTTAGTTGTGTGTTTGTGGATTGGTAATTTTATTGGGTAGGGGGTGTGAGTAACTGGTCTAGTAATTTTGTGGTGGTGGTGGTGGGGGGGGGGGGGGGGGGGGTTAGACGTTGAAGCTTCTTATGTGTAAGTGGTTTAGCGTGAGTCATATAAATATCTATCTTCAGAGACAAACCCAATTGTAATCGATCTGTACCAAGCCATGTAAGTATTAGTTGGTTTAGATTGGGTTGACATCATAGCGTCACATAAGACATGGTCACAACGGTGCCTCCATTTACGACACTCAAATTTAGCGAAGTCCTTCCAATTGTCAAAGTTCCATTGTTCATTAATTTTTTGTTGGTGCCATTGTCTGAGGCACGTAGTGGGATCTGTGATATTTTGAAGCATTCTAAACTGTAGTTTCACACGGTCACTATGGTGCATCTCCATAGTGATGAACCTGATGATTAGTGTGCATGCAGTCTAAACGACTACATCTTCTTCTCTTACTTCATATTGACTTTCCAAGTTTAGATATGTACGTCAAATAGACTATAGAGGAAAATAGATTAGATTATAAAATGAGTTATATTAAAAATTGATTTTTATGAATTGATTCGTTTAATATTAATACATATTCTGGTGTAAAGTGATCCAGGAGATTGCGATATTGAGTGATACATTGTCTACGACATCTATTATAAGTCATACCATGACCCGATCATCTAAACCAAAAAGTTCAAATAAATTATTTAGAGATGATAATTTGTAAAGTAGGGAAATGGAAATAATGTTATTAACTTACTTTTGAGTATACTGGAATGTAAAGTTGTTGCAGTTGATGGGCGCTAGAGATGACAATTTAGACCAACCCCATGCTTGGAGCAAAATGACACATCCAGAATGGAGAAAATCTACGATGAAGTCTAAACTGCTGAAGGATTCACATTCAGTATCTCAGGGTCAACAACTTCAGTGTGCAAGGAAGCGTCACTTATCTCATTCCCACTAGATAAATCCACAAATGAAATATTTAGGTTTCTATGTTGGCCATGAATAAGTAATAAATGGAAACACATAAAAGGGTAAAGGAAGAAAGTGTTACCTCAAGAAAATGCAAAGTTGAAGTCAAATGGGTTGAAAAAGGAACACCAGAAACTCAAAATGTTGCCTAAGTGCGAGAGCAAAAGTCAAAGTAAACAATCAACATATAACTAGAAGCATTATTTAAACGCTAGAGAGAATAGCTAGAAGAAAGGAAATACACGACTTTTTGACAAAGAGGTAGAAGAAAAATTTATGGTAATAAATCCTTTTTAATAGGTAATTGAAGAAGGATGACCTACATCAAAGAATAAGAATACCAAGAGGAAAAATCGATGACTAAAGATTAACCTGAAGGCCATAAGTACACTTGAGTACACTCGAGAACTATGACAACACCACTCCATATCCTAGGGGTCCAGGGTCAAATGGAGGAAATTAATTGTGAAACATTTTAAATACACGACAAACATTTAATATGCATGTTTCTTATGTCACCTACTCCTACTCAGCATTCTCTGACCCCCGATCCCGAGATGTGGACCAACCCGAGAGCATCGAGGCAACTAGGAAGATCATTCTAGAGGCCAGTCTCAAGATTTTTTTTATCCTAATCCTAACTTCACAAATATCATTATTAATCCAAGGGCAGCTGTTCTGGGTCGGTCCAATAACCTAATAAGATCGACCAAACTCGAGTGGCCCAGTCCAAAATTTTCTCAAAGTGGAACCCGAACTGGTAGAACCTTGTCAAAAATTCACGCATCATGTTTGGTCTTCCTTTCCATCACCGACTTTCATATTTAATCAAACAATCTTCCGCACCTCAGATCGAGATAAATGGGAACAGTTTGAAGATAAGCGGGAGCAGTTTGAACCGCTCTTCATTTTTAAGCTCTGTCACGTGTCGCAATATGTATTATTCATTCTTTCTCACTTATCTACCCCTCATTGACCTTACGAACTTAGATATTGGAATGTTAATCTTATAGGTATACATCTGCTATACAATATCAGAAGTTCATACTACCGCATATAAAAACTTTTTACCTATATATCATCAATTTTCTCGATTTTATATTCTGCACCGAAATAAGTACCTTAAAAAACGTAATGAGATGAAATTGAATTTGTCTAACTAGTACAGTGTCTAAGATAAACTCTCTTTCTATCACAAACTTTTCACATAAATTTCTTTTCTAAATTTTAGCATGCATCCTTACAACCGACTAATTCAAAGAAATTAATCCTACTGTCCACTTAAGTGAGTTTTTTCAAATCTTTTCACA